GTAAAACCAACAAGTAGGTAGTTTAAATACAGATTGGTTGTATGTAATTTACATGAATAAAGTAAATATGCATGATTTTTGCAAAATAAAAGTTGAAAAGAAATACATGCTATAGCTGACAGTAGAAACTTACTGTGTTGTACATAGAAAATATAACAACAGAATGTGGGTTGTGCAAGGAGCCCAGTTATCGTTGTTGCCCAATTTGGTGTGTGACCCAATTTGTCAGCCATCAAATGAAGATGAAAATGAGAATGAAAATGGATTCTCGTTGCCGGACAGACCCTAAGTGAGCATGGAGGGAAACTGGGAGGGGTGATTGGGTCACGTGCGCTCTGCACCTGACTTGCTATGCTACGCGTCGACGCGTTTCAATGCAGGTAAACGGTTAAGTTGATGTGCAGCACTTATTACTCAAGATCGAAGGTACATCGTCAGCCAACATGTGGGCATGGTTGGTTGGGGCATGGAAATCGTAACGGATATCGTGATTCATGGACAAATATGTGAGATGGGAGAACAGTGAAAGGATATTACCAACTCGTAGCTAAGTAATACATGGATGAGACCTCGCTCTCGATACACAGATAAAATCACATATTAAAAGGGAGGAATCTGGTAACCAGCCCTGCTGGCAAAGCTCCAACCACAGGGCCATCCACATTGAAGTCAACGTTCTTGAAATCAAATTGCAGGCCGTTTATGGGTAATCCATCAAACCTTTTAAACCCAAGTAAGAAACGGCAGAAGTTGGGTTTCATGTGCAGAACTATACTTACTTCACATTGGCTGACCTAATTGCGACACTGACCTTGGGATACATTGATATGTCCCAAAGTGAGGTCAACACGTTCTTACAAAGTTTTGCATGTGTCCGGTCTGTTTTCCCTTCAGCTACACCTTTCTTTGAATTTGAATTCAGTGAGCCAGTCGTCGTTCAACGGTAGAAGAAAAGACGATAAAACGCACTTCTACGGTGAAGTTGTCCAAACCCCCTTCGAGAAGGTCATCTCCTCCAACCGTTGCGACAAAATTGAGCTTCACGATTTCCATTTTGAACTGTTGAAGAGGATGTTCTAAATAGAAAACGAAGATGTCAATTGATTACTTGTGAACCTGAGATACATATGCCCACTGATGGTGATGGTATAGTCGGCGTTACCTCCTAAAATGCCTAATCGCACCCAAGCAGTGATACCTGTGACGCCCAGCGTTGCGATTCCCCTAATTTGCGCCTTGAGTTCCAGTGCTGAGGTCGTATTGAGGATAAGAGGGATATCGTTCTCGGTAGTCAAGTACTCCTTGAAAAACTTCATGCCATCGGAATTGAGATTTGTCCCGTTTTCAAAGAAATGGGCTTCAAGCTCAAGCTCGCGGCTACCGTTGGAAAAATCTAATGTCTGGTTGATCCGTGAGTAAGGGGAACTCCTAAAGAGAATACGATCCCTTCCCACCTGACTTTTGATTCTACCGATCTGTCATCTAATGAGCCTTTCAGAAGAATCTTACATCGTAAATGCATACCTTTGCGGTCCCGTACTTGATGGTAGCCTCCACCTCTATGGGCACAGGAATGACGGAATCCGTGGTCGCCGTGAATATACCGATCATGGCCCTTGATTCAACACGGTCAAAGGTGAGATCATTTAGTTCGACGACGGGATTCTTTGGCATGATGGCTAGGCTTGAGAGGGAATGCAGAAATGTGGTCGATGAGATGGGTGGTTTGAGAAAGAGCACTTTGAAGCCTGGTATTTATATTCAACTGGTTGATCTGTATATAAAGCTGGCGAGTCACAGATCCGATCCAACTCCTGCTGTACGTTCTTATCGTAGCCTGGTTCGGAGCTGTCCGCCTGAACATGAGATTCTGAAACACAAATTCGTGAGATTACTGCAAGGTTCACTTCTGTGTCTTCACAAGACCCAACGCTTTAAGTGCGTGCAGAATCCGATCGCACATCTTCGATTCAGATAATCAGTCTCTTCAGAAAAAAAATCAAATCTGGTCACAGAATCTTAAGTTGAAACGGACACGCACATACGTGTGTTCGGGGTGTGAAACGCCACTAGTCTGCTGAGTACTGAGGGTTCCAGCCACTGCGTTGGGATGAGCCCTGCAGGTGGGGCAAGATGGACGTTTAGAGCATTTGATGATAGAAAATCACCATGTTCTGCTTCCTCATGGCTTCCTCACTGACGCCTTAAGTTTCGATCAGCATTTCTATAAACAGACCAGGAGATATATTCGGCGCTTGGAAGTCACAGCACTTGTGAAGCATGTGAAGTATCGGCTGGGGTGGCATTGAATCAGATTTCCCGCTTTGACCTCTCTCCCCCCGCTCCCTCCGTCCCCTCTTTTACACATTTCCCTCTCTTTCTCCTCTCTTCAGCTTCCGCGCCGTTGAAGCTCGTACTAACTCCCCCTCTCCTTCTTATCTGGCCGGTTTAGACCCAACCTCTCGCCTTCACCTCCTTGCCCTCTTTTCCCGATCCCCATGTAAACTCCTCCAGATGCGTGCGCAAGAGGAGTTGCTGGGGCTTGTTACGCATACGTTGGATGTTGGTGAGGGGTGCGTCGCGCCAAGAACGAGGGAATGGTGGAAGAGGAATGTGCATAAATTGAAGTCGAATTTTCAGCGTCTCCTGAAATGAAAATTCAATGATGACTCATCTGACCCTCACTGTCATATACTGATCAATGTCGCTCGACGACGCCGCTGACTCTCAGCGCGTATTGAGTATTCAGTCTCACGTCGTCTTTGGCTATGTTGGCGGGAAAGCAGCCGTCTTTCCACTCCAATGTCTAGGCTACGATGTCGATGTACCTTGTCTTTTTCTCTTCCAATCCACCCAACTAACCTACACACTCTCAGGTCGTCAACACCGTTAACTTTTCTAACCACTCCGGTAAATTTCTCCCTCCTCCTTCTCATACCACACCACTTACCTCGTCTACTTTTGCAGGGTACGGTCGTTCTGGTGGCACAAAAACAACAGCAACAGAGCTAAACAGCATATTCGAAGGAATGGAAACAAACGAGCTCCTCATGCCCACCAGGCTCTTGACGGGCTATATACCAGGAGCGGAGGCCCTCACAGCCGTCGCACAGCTCGCGCAAAAGTTGAAGGCGACGAAGGAGGGATTGATATATCTTTTGGATCGTACGTCCTCCCCTCTACACTCGGATCATCAATCAAGGATTGACCTTGTGTGGTATGTAGCTGTAATGGGCGACGCAGGCCAACTGTACGTTGCTGCGGACGTTATACCAGTATACAAGGACCTATTACCACTGGCTACGGTCATAACACCCAACTGGTTCGAAGTCGAGTACGCTCTCTGTTACCCTTCGCTATAAATAACCTTTCTCACCCACTCTTAATTCTACAGTGTTAACAGACACAAAACTGAAAGACTTCCCATCACTACACACCGCCCTCCGCATCCTACACGAAAAATACCACGTCCCACACGTCGTCATCTCCTCTATTCCTCTCAAACCATGGCTACTCGCCGCCCTTCCAGAACATATAAAACCAGACGCGAATTCTGTAGATTCAAATGAACACCTCCTCTGCATCTCCTCCTCCTCTGCATCTCCTCCTCCTCTGCATCTCCTCCTCCTCTGCATCTCCTCCTCCTCTGCATCTCCTCCTCCTCATCATCTCACTCTTCGAAAGATCGCCTACGTCCATCGATCGTACACGCCCAATGCGTCCCCTTGATCCCAGGATACTTTTCCGGCGTCGGAGACCTGTTCTCCGCTCTCCTCTTGGCGCGCTTCCATCCTACAAAACCTATCGTTAACGGGTCTTCTAACCCTGGCACCGACATTCCCAACACTATCCATCAAAACACCACCACAACCGACGGCATCCTCACCCCCCTCACAACCCCCTCCACCCCCTCTTCCTCCTCCTTCTTCTCAAGCACACCCCTCTCAATAGCAGCCTCCCTCGCCCTCCACAAAACGCACTCCATCCTCCTCTTAACCCACTCATCAGCCCAATCCCTCCCATACGAAGAAAGACAACCGACAGATGACGAGTTGGACGCGTTGGAGCCATTGAGGAAGACGAGGAGGATGAGGGGGCGGGAGTTGGCGCTTGTTAGAGGGCAGGGCATTATACGTGGAGATGTAAAGGGGCAGGGGAGGCAATTGGTTTTTTGGGATGGGTTTTGGGATTTGTAGGGATGATTTGTAGACTTGCCATTTGGTTTTGCGTTGACTCTTCTCATACTCTCACTTTCTATACACGCAAACACATCAATCATAAGTAGAAAACTTCCTTACACTCTCCCAACTTATAATTAATTATCCCCCCTCCCCAATTTATCCAATGACACAACGCCCTTCTCGAACCACTCCTCGCGTGATATCCAAAAGTCCTCACGGCCCTTCATAATATCCGCCAACACCGCACCTCCAAGGAAAACCATGTGTTTCCTGCGAGGGGGATCTTCGATCTTGATTTTGAATTTCTGTTTGTGTGTTTGAATGTAAGCGTCAGGAGAACGAATCACGTCCAGAAGGAAGAAAGAAAAAAAGGAGGGAAGAAGGTACCACAAAAGAAAAGAGAAAGCAAGAGAAACTTACATTCAACCGCGCCGGATCCCCACCCAACACCCTCGTCAAATAAAGCTGCTTCATCTCCTTCTCCAACCTGCTCGGAAGACCTGGGTACATGCTTGATCCACCGGAGAGGACGACGTGTTTGTAGAGCTCCGTGCGGACGTCCACTGGGGCGGTTTGGATTGCTTGGAATAGCATTTCTACGTTGCGAGTGTTCAATTGGGTATAAAAGACAATATGGACGAAGGGGGAAGGGTAAGAAAGGACGTACCAGCTACACCAGGCTGTTCAATGTCGACTAGGTGAGGCTGGAACATGCATTCTGGCGCTTCGAATCGTTCTGAGCCGACTTTGATGGTACGTCCGTCTGGGAGCTGTCATCCCGGTTTAGTGTATCAAAAGAGAAGAAGGAAGGGAAAAAAGAAACCCACAGTGTAACTCTCCACCAACACCGTAGTCTCTTCAGAAAGGCGCGTATCGAGTTCAAGATCATAACTACCCAATCCCACAATCAGATAAGATGCAGGAAGGAAGGGGGGGAAGGAACAGACAGACAGACCTAACATAACACAATTTCTCCTTGATCTCTCTGACCGTCTCGAAATCCGCCGTGCGATTGAACGCGTACCCGCGCATAAGGAGCAGCTTGATCAGATATCGCGTCACGTCCCGCCCAGCGATGTCCAATCGCCGCGTGAGGTGCGGCATCGCGTACCCGTCGTATACGGGCACGATGTGCGTTACGCCGTCTCCCGAGTCGACGACAACACCCGTCGTCAGACCTAATTGTAATCCGCATTAGCCCTCGTCGATGCTCCCCATTACGACATTTGATGAAGCAAAAGAAAACTCACCCTGCGCATAAAGCGTCAACACAGCCTGAATAGCAACATACACCCCCTGAAACCCATACTCCTCAAACATAACCTGACACATCCTCTGCCTGTTCACTTTCGGGTTCATCGGCGGTTCCGTCAGCAGGACCTTCCGGCCCCTCGTATCGACCTTCAACTTCTCATCGAACGTATAATCCCATAAATGTTTCATGTCTTCCCAGTTTTTGACGATGCCGTGTTCCATTGGTTGCGTTACTTGGAGGTAGGTCCGGTTGGAGGCCGCTTCGTCGCCTACCATTATGTCTTTGATTAGGGCGGACCCGACTCGTTCTTCTGCGCGGAGGATGGGGCGGCCGATTATGGATGGGAATACTGGATGTTATCGTTATATAAGTACTCGTTTAGCGTTGTGGAGGATTGAGGCCGTACCGTGTTCTGGGAAATTAGACCCCGCATATCCCACTTTCACGAACTATGACGACAAGATGACCAACACCCTAACACCCTAAACCCTCTCCTCAACCCTAAACTCACTCCCCACCATCCACCTAACCTCATCCCTCCTCCTGAACTTCCACGAAACATCAGACAACCACTCCCCCTCCTTCCTCTGCACAACCACCATCCCAGGACAAGGCAACCGCGTCAAAGGCAGCGGCGCAGCCAAACTCTTCACATACGCTTCAACACTCAACACCGCTCGAGGCAAGGTGGCGTTGATCATGGAATTAACAGCTGCAGGTATCGAGCCTGCAAAATCCATCGCAACGAGCCGGGTACAGCGCGTTGATGGAATGGCGTAGTTCTCTTTCGTGTATGGGTCCAGCGTCTCGAGGATCCATGCGTCCACGTAGACACGGCCTATGGGGAGTGTGTAGGGGTTACATTTCCCTGCATCGAACCCAGCCCCCAAAATGGAATCAGGCCCAAACGAAGCTGAAACGCAAAATATCGCATTCTTCACACCACTCGAAGTGTGTTCCCCTCCTTCCCCGTTACTTCTCCCTCCCACTCCTCCTCCTCCTACACCCGTATTCCTCCTGGACAAAAATAAAGGAGGGACATGCGCACGCGCCATCACATTTGCCAAATAAAACCCCCGATCTCTGAAAGGGAACCCAGCTTTGGAGGATAAAAAAACCGTCTTGGCTTCCCCACCAAACGACTCCAAGACCTTTGCAGAATCAAACCGGTCGTCCCAATGTTTCCTGCACTCGAATTGGGTGACAACGCACGCGAGCTCTTCGGCGGATACGCCTTCGATGACTTTGGATCCTTTATGGACGGGTATGATGGGTGATATTTCTGGGATTAGTTTTCGGTGGACTGGGAGGCCTTTGTCCGAGATAAATGTCCATCCGTCAGGCGTTGTTTGCTGTGGTACCGCTACTGCTGTTGTAGTTGTCGTCGTAGAACGGTAGAAGTAGAATTCAAACTTGTCGTTGAACCAGTAGCACCACCCACAACCTGCGCCTTACACGACGCATTGAAATCCTGCGTCCACGCCAACGCGTCTAGGGCGTACTGCATCGGCATCTTCAAACTCGACGGAGTCGTAGAATGGGCGCCGTTCGCAGGTGAGATGGCAGCTACGGCCGACTGCGTCGTACTCGTCGCCTGATCAACCGCATAAGTCAAGAACCTCGACAAAGGACTCGATATCCTCGGTGCGCTTGCCCAATCGCCCAAACTGTTCCCTCCGTTCCCTCCATTCCCCGTTTCCACATTCGCGGCAGCAGGAGAGGAAGAACCACCACCAACCCCCTCCCCCTCCTTACTCCACTCCGCCTTCCTCCTCCTAACAACACCCACAACAGGCGGCTGATCAAGCGGTATCCTAGGCGGCTTCACCCTCTTCCTCTTACTCAGCGCCTTCACCTCGCTCTCTGGCATCTCCTCAACGTCCACGGGCACCTTTGCCCCATTCACCATCATCAACCCCTTTTCCTTCCCCGGCGTATGACGAACGATCGTCAGCAGCCGTTCATCCTCCACGAACAGAGTCATGCGAGAGCGTAAGCCACAGCCCACCACCGTCAAGGGAAAGCCTGTGTCGTCGAAGGCAGGAAATACTTTGTGGAGGCGGGTCAACGACGATGCCGAGTGATGATGCCCAAGTGTCCACGTCGCATCTAATCTCACATTCGATATTAGGCGCGTTCGAGTCCATCTCTCCTTCCTCTCCACCACCACCACTACTGGAAGAAGACAACCCCATCCTTCGACTGGAAGCAACCTCATACTCAACTTTAAAACTCCCCTTCTCATGATCATACCTAACCTCATTCATCTTCGCTCCCCCAAGACGCGTAACAACCGGCGGCCCACCACATTTAATCGCAAACTCGCCAATGCCAGCTAAGGGATTGATCATCTGACTTAGAACGCTCGTTTTGTTGGTCCACCCTTTCGGATCGGATTGTTCGAGGAGGGTTAGAAGTGTGGTGGTTGGGGAGAGGGATTCGATGGCCCAGCCTTGTAAGTCGACTTGGGTGCGGATGGTGTTTGGGTCCAAGGGAGGTATGTGAGGGAATAGATGTGAATCCGAGTCAACGGAGAAGGAGAAGACGTGGATTGTAGTGGGGGATTTGTATACAGTTTTAAGGACTACTGCGTCTCTTCCTCTTTAAAATTCCAAAGATATGTAAGTAGTCGAAAAAGACAGAGAAATAGAAGGAACATACGTAACAGGCCAAGCACGCTTTGTCTTGAAATGCCACATTTCTGTAAGCTCATTAACGTCCTCCAGAAGGACAGCATCTTCATGTTGCTTATCCCAATAAATCCTCGCTCCAGGACTTATCACGGCCCCATACAAATCCCACAATCCCACACCTACAAATGTCGCTTCTGCACGGTAAACAACCAGTGTTGGGTCGATCGAGTCAAGTTGTGTTATTGATACACCTCGAGCTTCGGTTGCTTAATTCGAAGTAGTTGCGTTAATTAGGAGAATAACAAAAAAACAAAAGAAAAAAAACACGCACTCCGTCTCCACTTTGCCTCAGGCTCTTGAAGAAGCGATGAGAAATAAATATAATTCCTCCTAACCTTCGACAATATCGTCTTCTCCGCCGCAGGACTCCTCTCCATCTGTCCCTGTCCAGGTCCCTTCGACTCAACAACACTCGTACCCGTCGTCCTCAACGAAGAAGCAGACGTCTGCACACTCAAATCCACCGCACTCGCAATATCCGCCAATATCGCCTGCGGGACACCGTAGCTCTGCGGATCCCTCGGCTCGGAATCGTATATCGTCTTTGGGAGCCCATTAAGCCTTAAGCCGCGACTTGCACCTGATACTTCGATGACCAGCTTGATTCTTAATACAGAGTGATCGTTGGGCGGTGGCATGTGCGGACCAGGGAAGCTGCTCTACCTCCTCTGACGAAGCCTTCACGGACACGAGGACGTCCCAACCCTCCAAAGAGGGTAAAATACACTCCACGCTCCTCGTCAGCCTTCTTTGTTCCCTAATCACCTGAACTTCATCCACACCATGCATCTGTTCAGGCGTAACCCCCAAATGATCTTCATCGTCGGGTAAAATCGAATAATCAACCGTCAAAGCCTCCCTATCGACCTGATACCTCACCCGGCCAATGGACACGCCATGCCCATACCCAACGAGCTTGGGCACGCGTTCGCCCCGCTTTATTACGGATTTGAACATGCTCAGGACCATGGTTGAGAGTTGTTGTTGAACGCCTGCAGAGGTCGACCCGAAACCCAACATGGCTTTGAGATCGTGTTGCCAGAAACAGGTTATCCGAATCCGGCTTGGGGGCTTCTTGAGTTGATCGTCTTGGGGACGGGGTGAGGGGATGTGTTGGATGCACTATGCGAATACTAGCTGGGATGAGATTATGATTAGGAAGAGAAGAGGACACGTACATTTGACGTGGGATCTGACGAATGGCGGGGAAGGTCGTAGGTAGGCAGGCTCATCGGGTGACCGTGGGAGTGAAGTGGAAATGTTTATGACAGTTGTTGGATCATGGAAAGAGCACGAAATCGTAACCGCATCTCTTGGACTAGGTTTATGAAGAATTGGAAATTAAAAATCAGCAGCACATTGCCATAGACCACCAAAACGAAGAACATACTTCGCCGGCCAACCAAGCGTGAAATTCGTCTTACATATTCCGCGATGAGCAAGCACGAGGCACGAGTGCAAGCTCATTATCGGATAAGATAACGGCTGAGCGTCAGAACGAGATGGTTTGTACTCATAAGTACAAACACTCATGTATGTCTCCGAATCCTAGACAAGGAGAACTACATTCTCCTTGTCATTCAGATTATCGTTCTGACGCGGCAAAAAGAGTCCTCTCAACCTCAGTGAAATTTTCGAATTTTTTCGTCGGTTTTCCTTCGACTTCTGCCATGGCCGACACTCCCGAAACCTCTCAAACCTTGGCTACTGCTGGAAGCTCTCAGACTGCCGCTACACCTCTTTCTCAGACAGCGGCTACACCTCCTTCTCAGACAGTGGCCACACCTGACTCTCCTCCCCGCATCCCTCGTACTCATACTTCACCTGCCATTATTAAAATGCTTAAGACTCTTCCCTTGGTATCTATTCTCCAGATGAACAAGGAAATTGAAGAGAAAAATGCAGTACGGTCTCGGAAGACCTTTAACCATCTTTTTGATCCTACTGCCCACACTGTGCCTGGATCTGATGAAGCTTCTCTCGTTTCTCTTGATGACGCTGATTTAAACCGCTTCCGGATCCCTTCCTTTGCGGCTTCCTTCCCTAATCTAATCTATGCTAAGCTTGCTAAATGGATTGCGGATGAGGAGATTAAAGAGAAGCCAGCCTTAGCTGTAAGAATTGACCAAATCCCTATGGACTTGAGCACAAGATGCTATTGCATAGAGCCTGCATTCAACCACCTTCCAAAAAGCAAGGATGTTCCACACTCAATTTTCTCATAAAAAATGCTTGGAATTTTCGAAAAAAACTGTTCTGTTTTGATTCCATGTGGATAAAATAACCCTAGGTTGGGTTTTATGTGTATTTCATGTTGGAGAAATGTTTTCCATATGGTTTAGCCATCAATACATCATTCTATGTGGCTATTTTTAGTTTCCTCAGCTTCTTTGACCAAAATGATTCCTTGGAAACCATTTCCATCATCCGAAACCATGCAAATATGTCATCCACCTTACTTTTCCATCAATATATGTTTTCTATATGATCTAGCCATCAATTCATAATTTTATGGTGCTTATTTTTGGTTCCCATAGCTTCTCTTCATGAAATGGTTCTCCGGGAACCACTTCCATCATCGGAACACATGCAAATATGTTCTCCGCTTCAATTTGCCATCAATATACAATTTGTGATGTTTTGCTGCGTCTATTTTTGCCCTTCATCGCATCATCGCATCAATTCTTCCCCCCCACGCATCAAAAGACGCATACAGCTGTCAGAATCCCCATATGTCTTCCTCATATTTCCTTCCGTATTTTTGGTCTTCCGTGTTTGTATGTCACTATTTTACTTTTTCATATTATCCCCTCTCATGCCCTATTTCACCTTCCTGGAGTTTTTTCATGATCCTGCCTTTGTCTCCCATTTCGAACGTACACTTTGATGAGTAGCTCACAATCCGGTTCAGCGCTATAACTGTCCTCAATTTACGCGACCGACAGTGACAAGGCCAATCTTCCAATTTACGCAAGCAACAAGTACGTCTCAGCATCACGTGTACGCGCAACAATGCCAAGTGTTCAAGTCCAAGAACAAGAAACAATAAATATATGTATAAGTACAACAAGAAGTACAACAAGAATCTGATAAAATTAACTATGCGAGACACAAAGTAAGTATACGAGAGTCCAAGATAACGCGAGTGTGAGATTGTATGTGATAGATCAACCGATACATCAGTACGCGAGCCCAAAAGTTATTTGACAGTCCAAGATGTAAGTATATTAGAGTATAAGTATGATGCAGTCCGATTACACGAAGTGCGCGAAGGGTTTGAATTTGCAAGAGTCGTTGCCAAGATGATGTTCAAGAGGTGCCAAAATGGGGGGAGGGGGAGGCGGCTAGTGTGCGTCTAGCATTGACGTGACCTTGATGGCTTCGAAGTTGGAGCCGGCGGCGAGCTACAGGAAGGGGAGGGTGAGGCGGCTAGCATTCGCCTAGCGTCGACGTGACCTTGATGGCTTCGAAGTTGGAGCCAGCGGCGAACTACAGGAAATAAAATATGAGCGAGTGTCAATAACCTCTAAGGAGAACTTACCCGACACCCAATAGCCCGTCAAGCACCCATCCGACATCTTCAACGGCAGCCAACCAGCTGGAATCTTCAGTTGGTGGCTTTGACGATGCTGTACCCCACCACAAGAGAGTCGCCATGATGGAGAAAAATGCGTTGCGACCGTGTTTGTCGATTGCCGACCAATCGCGGCCACCTGTCAAGACTGGGCGATGAGTGCGGTCAAGCAAGCCTTCCACCTCGGACACAGCCCTCCATGGTGGTTGTAAACCCTTCCACCATTTCCACCAATTCTCTTTGAAATCTGCGAGGTTTGTGATCTTGGGCTGTGTCGTGCGTCCTCGGGAAATCCAATAATGGACCTCTGGTGGTCGTTTGTCTGACCCGAATCCCGCTGAGCGTGCACCTGGTGCGAAGTCGGTGAGTTTCTCAAACTTTGTCAGCTGATCAATAAGCAACGTAAACTCTGGGCCCAAATTCTGGCTGGAAAGGAGTTGGTGGGCATCTTTGAACCACGAAGGCCAAGAAGCATCCGCTTGTGCACCGGAGACAGATGTCGGGCTGTCGTTAGACGAAGGAGCTGGTGGAGGGGAAGTTGCCAATAGCGAGCCGCCAGGCATGGAAGGAGTGCAAGGCGGGATAACGGGGGGATCCACTGGGGGGGACGGCAAGGAATGAGCAGTCGGCGGAGATGGCAATGCAGAAGTGTTCGATGGAGATGGGAAGGCAGTGCTGACGTTGATCTTGATGGTATCAACGTCAGCTTTGGCACCCTTCCAACGCCTCGGATCCATGCTTGTGTTCCTGGTGCTTTTGCGGGTCATTGTCTGTGGCTCGTCTTCATCCTCGTCCTGATCTTCGTCCTCGTCCTCATCCTCATCCTCATCCCCCTCGTCCTCGTCTTCGTCATCGTCCTCCCCTGAGTGCTCTGGATCCGAATCCTCCGAAGCAGAATCGGTCGCTGATGCCTCAGCGTCGGCTGTCGTTTTGCGGCGTTTAGTCGGCTTCTTCTTTGCAATACTACCTTTCTTGGCCTTGAGCCGACTCTTCTGGACCTTCTTCACGTTCGTTTCCGCGCTTCTCTTCCGCTTGCGTCCACTGTCTGCTAACCCCGAGGAATTAGAGGGCTTGGTTGAGTTTTCGGTGGAGGGGTCTGGCGCAGGGGTCGAGGAGGATGGGCCAGCATGCATAGGATCAGTGTCGGTTACTGGTTGAGGCAATGCACGCGCGCGCTGCTCATCGGCAGCTAATGTAAAGTAAAAGTGGATGTAAATTAGTGATGGAATTTGTAAAACAGAGGATACGTACTGTAACAGGTCGACAGAAAAGTCAGGAACACTTCCGAGACTGCGGCAAATTTCTCTTTCTCGGCATGTGCCCACACTTTTGGGATGGGGGCTTTGTTTTCGCCGGCATGAATACTGAGCCTGCATTAGTACGCCGAAAATGTTATAAAATATTAAACCTACCCAACCATGTTCAGCTGCCCCTTTCTTTTCGGTTCAGGACCGCCGATCAGGACTGTGATATGCATACCAACTGCCTCGCCGATGACGTGGATTAATGTTCCGAACAGATTGGGCAGCTCGTTGTAAACACTGTAGGTTAAAAGATCAGATTGTGTCGAGTTTAAAATATACGACACTCACGCTTGAGCTTCTGCTGGTTCCAGCAACCCTGAGCTCTGCAATCAATCCTGCGTTGCTTTTTTGGTCGTGGCGTGCTTCGTTTTGGCGGTCTCGTTCCAATGTTCCTGCGTCTCTTCGTCAAGCTCCTTCCATTGCGCTAATTTGAACTCATTGCGAGCGCTCGCACGCGCTGATTTGGGTCTACCGCTCGCAGCGAATTCTGCCTCAAAGTCTGCCTTCATCAATGGGAAATGTTCCTTTCCCCATACCTCCCAGCCTGCGCTACGCCTAGACGACGAGGCGCTACGCCCGAGAAATTTCTCCACGAGGAGGGTCAGATTATCCTTCTTCCCTTTGGATGGACGAGGGAGCAGCGAGGTCGTACGTTTGCAGCGGTATTCGTACCAATGGTAGAGAGACTGAAAGAAAAAACTTTTAGTATAATACAATTTGATCAATCATTGAAGGTCACGTACAGTACGCGCCCGTTCAATTACTCGGCCCTTGAGAATCGAGTCGGCTGAACCCAAGATTTCATGGCCTTGGCTGTCGAGAGCGAAGACAGTGGCGGTCGCATTATCGTTGGCAGAAAGTGGAATGGACCAATGGAAGCGGGTGAACCATTGGTTTACGATGGCGTCAAGAACAGAAGCAGACTTTTTTTTGCTAAGCAATCCCTCCTTGTAGTCAGAGATGTACCCCTCAAGAAAAGCAAGGCGCTCTCCCTTGGCCCAGTTACGCAGGAGCGGACAGAGCAGTGGCTGTGCGGCAACCCTGAATATTCCCAGAATAACATCAGTCCCAACAAAAAACAAAGACAAGCTCGACAGTGCACTTACACACCACCAGCATCAACGTTATCGCTCATTTGGCTTTTAGGTGGGGAGGTGGGGCAGGAGGGAAGCAGAAGTGTATAGGTACGTATGGATCAGTCCACCTTAAAGCTTTTTTTTTTCACTGTGGGAATACTGTCAGAAGCCCCATCTCATCTTTAAAAACCGCCTCGATGTAAGGATTCGATATTCAGTTTTTCATCCCAACCGTCAATCCACGTCTCAACGCCATCTACGTTTTTGCTACCCCTCCTGTCAAAGCTCGTTCTCAATGACCGACATCACTGATCGTGAAGTGCAAGCAACCACTTCATCGTCCGCGATGACTGGTAAGGGTCCCACTCTCGTCGTTCCTTCCAGGACAACCTCTGACACCCCGTTTCAGACATTGAAAATGCGCTCAAATCGTTGAAGTTGTCCCCTGCCGATACCCAGCAGGTGGTGCGCGCCTTTCTCGCCATTCTCAACGCGACCCCCAGCTCCAGCCCTTCCATGCTGCCCTGTTCCTCCCTCTCGGCCACTGACAATGCCGCCAGCTCCCATTCTGCCGGCAACGAAGACTTCAAGGACTCCGAGGATGAGGAACAGGGTGATGCTCCCTCCCTTCCGCCGCTCCAATGTGCCACTTGTGCATTCTCAATGGCAGGGGCTCAGCCACCCGTCGCAGATGCCGGTTCTGCACCGTCTTCCGTCATCGCGTCCACCACCGCAGTTGCAGAAACTCGGGCGCCTACACCAGCTTCCTCTCTTGTCGCAGTGCCTACCGTCGTTGTTCCAATTTCCCCTGCTGCAGCGTCTCTTCCCTCTGCTGCTGCATCCATTACAGCCATGACTGCCCCCATTGTTGCGAATGGCGCCGCTACCACCACCACCACCACCACAGCTTCTGTCGGAGCAGCGGTTGGCCCTGCAGTTCCCCTGTACAGTCAACTTCCACCCAACGTACCGTCGAACGCCGTGTTGCCCCCTCCCCACCTGGTCACCGTCGGCCACGGTTATCACGTTCCAGGACCCAATGACAATCCACCTTTCTATGTTGTTACTCGAGGCTGCAACATTGGCATTTTTAGTGGATGGTATGTATTCCGTACTATCTATTTGATCAAGGGCTAATGCACGCGTTTAGGGAAAATGTCTCGCCCCTAGTTACTGGCGTTAGTCACGCCGTCTTTTCGCGTGTTGGAAGCATCGCTGAGGGACACAACCGGATGACGATGGCTCGTACTTCCGCATTTGCAGTGTACCTCGCATAGATTACTGGAGCGCATCCACTTTTTCTTGATCTCATGTCGCTGACCGTCGTAATCTGTACTATCATCTACGCTGAATATATTTGTTGATTTTGACCTCTTGTCTGTGACTTATGCCTGAATAAAACAAGCTCGAAATGAAAAAAATGACTTGTGTTGCACTCTTTTGTTGACCGAGTTCTGATTGTCAAATCCTGTGGTTGCGCATGGTTTGAAACCCTGAATGTTGGGTTCTCACTTAACTTTTTTTATTGTCTAGATGCATCATTAAAAATATAAGAGGGAGTTTGCGAATGCGATGTTGAAAGAGTCCATACGACGGTGTCTAAAAATAGACAGAGGTCTCCGTGCTTGAGAACATAACTAAAATTTACTCTACAGCTCCCAATATCCACCCGTTTCCTTATTCCTTGGAAAGCGTTACTCTTAAGATATGAACACACCCTACAGTGAAAAGTTTTCAAGCTAAACACCAATTTTCAAAAAGTCAAAAGATTGAGCTTTGGGCCGCCTTTCAACTCGCGCGCCAGAGCGACCATCAACGTCAATTGGACTATGGCCTCCATTACCCCAAGCCAAAATTCTCGATTTTGGGCTTGTTAAAATCAGATTTTCAACACCTTACTGAAACCGAAAGCCGTTTCTTTAAAGCTGTTGAATTGCTGACGCCAGAGACAAAAAGTCGTAAGAATCATATTAGCTACAAACTAACTACTTACGCAATCACATACCACTTCTCACCTCTAGCACCAACATGGGTCGCCAACGCCTCTACCACACTCGCGAGGAGAAGGCCGCTGCTCGACGCGCCCACTTGAAAAAGTATTATGAGAAGTACAACTATATTATTATCTACACCTTTTCTCGTTAACATTTCACGGGCGCAGAAACCGTAGCCTTATTTGCGCTCGCGAGCGTAACCGCTACAAGAAAAAGGCTCCGCCCATCAACTTGAACAAGGGTCAATCCAAGGCACCAACCAATGAATTGCACCCCCTTGAGGGTGACCCTGATTACAGGTGTGCTTACCTTTGATACAGACCAGACATTATATTGATGGCCATTCGGAATTTAGTGCTGATGCGCTCGCCGTAATCGCCAGAGCTCAAGAAATCTTCAATAAAGTTACTGAAGGCGAAATGTATTCCTACGTCGACCGGCTCGTTACGCGTTGCATCAAAAACCCGGAAAACGCAGTGCGTGTCTGTGAGTCGAGGGAGGCGTGGTGGATGGAGCTCGTGTTGGAAGTGCACGACGCCCTGGCAATTATCCTACAGGAGCATGGGTGCGGGGATATGTATCGAGAGGCGGATCTCATAGGAAAAGACATCCGCCTTGTTCTCAGCCTCGTAGAGGAAGTCCACGCCCAGGCCATATCTTTGGGGCCTGGCCAGATGGAGGATTGGCAGAGGAGTGGGATCTTTTCCTACCAGATCTGTGCCGAGGGTGATAAAATCTCTATCTAGTTGCCTGTAATTCACTGCAGTGCTATATTTTCAATCTAGTTACACTTAGCGCAATCGAACATTTGTATTTTTGCTTCTGCTGTGGAACAATCCACACGAATTTGCCATAGATTGTGCTATATAGTCCATCAAGCCGCAAAATAAGGTTTCATCAGTTTGGCGTGTAGGACGACAGGACAGCAAACAGTCGTCCAAACCCTCACAATGGGCAAGAAGCGCTCTCTCAAAAAAAAAGTCTGGACTCCCATCATCGTTGACGATACTGCTGAACGAGCTGAACGTCGCGTGAAGAGACTCAAAAAGGTATGTGATCCGTTAGATTCTGAATACGATCGATCGTGTTACTACCTGACCTATCTAGCTCGACCCTGACCCGGAAGCAGATACACGGCTCAAGAAATGCCATCAGGACCAGATTTTGAAATTACTGGTTCCAAGTTACCGACTTGCCGTTGCCCAAGATCAAATCAACGCTTACTTTAACCGCGCCTCGCTTATTTGGTTCCTCCGCTTTCCTGATGCTGAGGATGAAGTCCATGTGCATAAGGCGTTTCTTGGTGATACCGAGTATGAGACCGACATCCGCAACCAACGTATCAAGGTAAGCGTCCACCGCTAAATCTTTTTCCACAAACTTTTGACGATGGCCCTATAGTGGCTCAAAACTAAGCTCCAATGGGTCGCCTTCCGCGTTCCGGCGAAGGGTGGCCGCTCTGGGTCCAAGCTGTCGAGTTGGGACAAGGAGTTGAATCTGGTGATTCAGAAAATCGCAGAGGATCTCCCGACGCCTTGGGATCCCGCAGATTGCGAGGGCTTCAAGAAGCTCCAGGAGATTGCTGCAGATTCTATGGCTCTTCTCGTGGCGATTAAGCAAGGGGAAGGGTCTTTGAGTCCACAGGGGTCGGTTGAACTCTGCGCGTCGTAGTCATTTATCATACAGTAATCTTTGTGCAAATCTATTAGCGTACTCATATGATACACGACTCGTCCATAGCAGCATTTGTAGGCCTTACAGAGTTTGTAACTTGTAGTCTAACACCACCTGACTTGACTTGAGGCATTTTGTTGGTCCCTTGAATTCATACCTGATACCCTTTGTTGATGCCTAAACTTTCCCATGGCCAAGACAAAGAAAGGTTTCGTCGTTGTTCGAGATGATCACAGTGACGAGGACATAGCGATCCCTCAATCTCGCACGGTTCGGCTCTCTAATCATGGCCGAAATCTCATTCAGACTGCTCGTTCGCCACGAAAAGGGGCGGCGTCCTCAAATCGCTTTCCTTCGCCCGTTTACGAGTGGAATGCGAGTATCGACTACGATACCGTCGACCTTTTACCGGGGGATGAACTTGAGGAAGAGCTCGGCGCGGAGGTGGAGGACTTACCTGTAGCTGCCAAGGTAGCCGCAAAACGCTATCCCACATCCGTGAGTGTGGTTGATTGCACTCGATCGTGCACTTCTGACAACTTACAGGATGATCCTCTACGTGAGTGGGCTGGGCAAAGCAAGTCAGATCCCGGTTATCGGGAGGAATATCTGCTGGAGATGTTGAGGCTAGAAGGACGAGGCGACGTCGGCGCTGAGGTGGAATGCATGTCTTGTGCATCCACAAATCCTGGGATATACCGTTGCGAGGACTGTATGGGCCGGCTTCTAGAGTGCTCGAGTTGCTGCGTCTTCCGTCATCGACTGCTCCCCCTCCATATCATTCAGGTGAGCATTTACCCGCTCTCACTCTCGGTTTGCTGAATTACGTATAGAAGTGGAACGGGTCATATTTCGAGAAGATATCATTAAAGTCCATGGGCCTTCGTGTTCAGGTTGGCCACACCAATTCAACTTGCGTTAGCCCCCAACCTGGCCATAAAGATTTCACCGTGCTTCACACCAACGGTCTGCATCACGTCGCGGTCAATTTCTGTGGTTGCGATCAACGGATGATTTCGAACCGGCAACAACTGATTCGAAGCGAGTGGTTTCCCGCAACCGTCCACCATCCCCAAATGTGCGCGACGTTCCGATTGCTTGAGCTGTTCCACGTCGTCACCCTGACCGGAAAGCTCTCTGCCCACGAGTTCTACAAATCACTTGAATACCTGACAGACAACACGGAGCTGGAGATCCCTAAGGTGAGTCAGATGCTGTTTCTTGCTTGTGTTGAAAGTCACGACCATCCCTTTGTTTCAGACGCGTTACAAGTCCCTTATGCGAATGATTCGCGAATTTCGCCACCTCAAGTTATTGAAACGACATGGCCGGGGGAATATCAAGAATGGGCTAATTTCGACTGGCCGGGGGGACCTCACTACGATCTGTCC